GGTGTAGCCCCGGCTGGCTGTGATGTGCAGCGGCGTGGTGAGCTCCTGCTCGTAGCTCAGAGACCACAGTCCTGCGGGAAAGAGCGGTCAGCCATCCATGGCCAGCCACAGCGCGCAGAGCGCCGGGGCCAGACCCCAGAGCACTGGTGTGCATCCATCCCGCTTGGGACACCTGGGTTCCTCCCAGGGGACTGGCTCTTCCCTCAGCCCCTGCTCTGCAGGGTCCCTGCCCTTGGGCTGCCGAAGGCAAAGACCTCGGGGTGGCTCTTAGGCTGCACGGCCAAGCTGGCAGGGAGGGCAGCGGAGCAGAGCCCCGGGCAGAGGCTGTTCCTGGACAGCATGCTGGTCGTGTGCTGTGTGTGTGCTGTTCGTGTGCTGTTCATGTGCTGTTCATGTGCTGTTCATGTACTGTTCATGTGCTGTTTGTGTGCTGTGTGTGTGCTGTTCGTGTGCTGTTCGTGTGCTGTTCATGTGCTGTTCATGTGCTGTTTGTGTGCTGTTCGTGTGCTGTTCATGTGCTGTTCATGTGCTGTTTGTGTGCTGTTCGGGTGATGGTCATGTGCTGTTCATGTGCTGTTCACTGGCAGACTTGGCCGGCCGCGAATTTTTTTTGTTCACGGGCAGCTCCGGCCGGCAGCGCAGGGTTCTGCTGAGGAGCACAGCAGATGAAGGGCCTGGGACATTGGGCTGGAAGCAGCAAGGTGGCTGGGCAGAGAACCGTGCACAGAGCACAACAAATCCAAGGAACCAGGCAGTAAAACAGAGAGGAACTGGAGCAGGCTGCCGTGCACACAGGAGATTCAGGTGAGCCCCGAGCATGGTGCAGACATGCAAGCTTCAGCAGAGATGGACATCTAGGGGCTGGGAGAGAGCACGGGGCTGAAACCTGCCAGCTCTCAGAGATGCTGACCCAGCTGGAACCATGGCCGAGCTGGTGCGGTCTGCAGGCAAACACCCTGCAGCTGTTAGGGGAAAAGGGCTCCTTAAATCACACTGCCAGCTGCCCAGACGGGGCTGGAGGACCACATCCCAGGCTGCGGGACACGTTCAGCGCTACAGCCCTCTTGCCCCTTTCTCGCAGAAACAGCATGTGGTCAGCTGCGTTTCCCAGGGCCAGGTTCAAACTGAACCATCCTGAGGACCGAATGCAGGGCTGGGACAGTTCTGTGCCAGCACAACCCGTGACAATTCCGTGCCAGCACAACCTGTGACAGTTCTGTGCCCGTCACAACCACAGCGGGGACCAGCAGCCCAGCACAGGCTGCGCACAGCAGAACAGGCACACAGCCA